GCTAGAGCGAGACTTGATTGGCTTGAGGGGCTATATTTATCAGGAAACTCGATTAAAATACAGACTGCACATGACATCAAATTTGTAATCATTTTTCCACAGCAAGCAAGCATTTTCTGTATTGGATGCAGGTGTTTAAAGCAATAGTGTGTTTTAAGGGCCAGTGCAGCACAAATTCTGGCCTTTGGGATAATGACAAGTGTTTTGCCTGCATAAACAATATTATTTCCACTACCACCACCACCACACCCCCGCCCCTGAGGTCCACACGCACCTAGTTTCCCTCAAGCTCATCATCTCTGTCAGGTTAATCAATAGGCACCGTATGGCAGAGGGTCAGTAATCAGTGTCATCGTGCCTTTAAATCGTGTTGAAAATTTGCTTAAAGCCTGGGCCAATTAACATCGAGATGATGAATGGATGGGTAGATGGGAAGAGCCTGGTGCTCAGGGGCTTTGTGAGAAGGAGATGCTCAGCTGTTGAGCAGCAGACACCAGCGAATAAAATCAGCCATTCATGTGAGCTCAGTCCACCCACTCTTAATGATAATGTCAATCTAGCAAAATATATACACATTGGAGTTGTCATGAGTTCATAAATCAAAGGAGTTTGTCAAAGGCATTCAGATTAACGAGGCAGCAGCAATAACAAGTCAAATTTGCATAGAGAATTGCCCGAATCTCAGTAAATTATGATCCTGTTTTTCATTTGATTATTTGCTAATGTCTCAAGAGGGAGAATGATTATATTAGCATGCAAAATCTACTCCAGAAGTAGAAATCCAAGGTATAGCAGACCAGCACACGATGACAATTAATCAGTTTCTGCATACTAGCATAAACGCGCAAGGCCCAGAAATGAACTCCTTTTTTTATTATTATTTCTCCTTGCTACTGATCCAAATGGTTCAGCTTGACAGAGACTTTATATTGCTTTAACAGTGTTCTGAATTGTGCCTGCAGGCAAGACATAGTTATGCAGCTATAACCAACCTATCCATCTGCCAACCAGATTGGAATTCTCCTATCCAAGGCTTCCATTAACCCCCACTGACAGCTCCAAACAGGATTAAGAATTTGAAAGCATAAAAAATAGTTGTGCTCTTCGCTCAGACACACGCTTCTCCCCCACCCCCACCTCCCCACACTTGGAATAAGGCTGCGTCTGTACTCTCTTATAATTAGTACAGGGCAGAACAGCACCAAAGAAAACCTCCCCCAGTTGGCAGGGGTTTGATTTCCACCACGAGTGAGGCAGCACTAAAGGTAGCTCTGCCCAATTGGTAGTCCCTGGGAGTGCATTTCTCCGTGTATTATATCTCATCCCCAGCAGTGTTTTGCTGGGCTGTGTACGCAAAATACTGCATGTCATCTCCTGTCAAACGCTTCAGTCTAGGGATTTGGTATGCGTCGTAGCATGTTGTATTTAGTGGTGGAGGAGGCTTCATGGGGAGAGTTAAATAGTAATAATTTCGTAGTGGTCTTTAAGACAACCTGCCATGGAGTTATATTCTGTTAATTACAGGCTGAAGTTTTGAATGAAAATCACATTTAAAAGGATCTTGTTACAGACAGTAGCCATTTTAGGAAAAATCAGCTACGGAGGGCAGAGCCCCTTTACAGGAATCTCCTGCTCAAGGGAAATTTTAAAGGTTACAAGAACTGTGACCTTGGGTTTCCTGGCTTCTCTTCCCAGCACTTCCACTGTCATTGTGTGACCTTGGGCAAATAAATATTTTACTTGTTTGTGGAAATGGGGGAAACACACAGTATTTATCTCACCAAGATTGATCTGTTTGTGCTTTGGAGACTTAAGCACTTCACATCTATCTTGCTTGTGCTGGTTCAAAAGGAGGGACCCCTGCATGCGAGTGCCAGCCCTTTTGGTGAGTCTGGCTCTAGTCTATGAAGGAAGGCTTGCCTGCAGGATTTAAACATTTTCCCTGATGGAAGGGAGTTTGTATGGCTTTTCAGCTCTCTGTATGCACTGGTTTTCTTCACTTCTTTCACCTTAACAAATTCCATCATTCCTCTACTACGTGTCAAGTACAGTTGCTGCAGATCTTTAATATTCCCAGTGAGTACACCCATCTTACCGTCTGGATACCAAATGCTTCTTTCCAGGTCTGTGCCCGAGACATGTGTTTCAGTAACCACGAGAGGGTGCTGAGAGCGGTGCCTCCCTTTGTCTTCCTCTTGTGCGGCCGAGAGCATCACTGAAGTCCTGCTGAAGCAAACCTTATTCTGACCTCGCACGTGTTTATCCCTCCTCCCACCTTGTTCAGCAAGGAGGAATATATAGATGTACCGTTTCAGTCAATTACGTTATGCTTTTCCCATGACCATGGCTGAGTGTTGCCCTATCAAGTGAAATTCACTTCGATGCAGCTAGCTACAGTTAGTCCTGAAATATTCAGTCTTGTACCTGCACCTGGATTGATAGGTTTCCTGTTCCTGAGAAAGGAGCGGGGGTTATAAGCATCTGTGCTTTTTCTTAAGTGTAATGCTTTTGAGTCATTCTGTCTTCACCAAGCGTAACTTACTTGCCGACAAAAGTGCACGAGCAGCGCTCCTCTTTAATAGTCTGCTATCGGAGCTGCTGTGTTGGTGCTGGAGAATGGTAAGACGCCAAGCTGTGAACCACCATATGCACTTGGCAGTCTTTGTCTGGTCTTTGTTTAGCCAACCTCTTAGCCTTGCCACCTATAAAGATAATGAATGCAAAATGGTCCTCTGCTTGCTCTTAAAATGGGATGCTCAGCTTAAAGGAAAAGAAGGTAACTTGATGCTTTGCGGTAACTAGAAATTTCAAAATAAGGGCTGACAGCAGCAGTGATTTTCCTGCTTTTGGATGTTTTTTGAGGGAGGATCCGTAATGGCTTTGAGAGGAAAGAAGAATGCAAGATTTCACTGTTGTAGAAAGATTATTTGGAAGGGGAAGTCATTTTGGCACTTACTGTAGGGAAGGGGGTGGATGTTGGAAAAGCATCTGGAAACAGTAAACAACCCCCTCACCCCATCAACAAAATGCATTTCCTGGTCATGTGTAGTAAGTCACCTCAGATTCTGATGTTTCTCACACTTGGTCTTTTTCTCCAAAGTGCAGAAATTAAAATCCTCGCTTGAATCAATGACTTACTAAACTGTATTTCATGAGCAGAAAAAAGCAGCTTTAACATCTGACTTGCCTTTTTGGAGATACGTGGTTCTGGCTTGTATGTTTTTACGACCAGTCCTTTCTAAGCTGGATTTAATGTAATAACTTGGTCCAGGCTGAGACCTCATATGAAAACTTTTAAAAGCTGGCCTCTTACAGCAATTTATCAGGCCTGTTTAGGATTGATTTCCATTATAAAACCCTATTTACAGCATCCCAGATGTCATGGTGCCTTGCGAGTTCTGTATCTTGCTTAAAAACCCCCAAAATCACAAATCATTAGTTGGCCTGTAAGCCTAGATTTACGCAAGATCTTCCCGACCAGTTTATGACATCCCAAGTGTTTTGTGTTTGTTGTGTCTCTTCCCAGTCTGATATTTCTCAGCAAACAGCTCCTACCCCTGCCCTACCTCCTGCCTGTACCTTTTCTTGCCATTCACCAGCCCAGCAAACTGAGCTGCCTAGACAGTGCCTGATCACGCAGCACTGCAGTGGGCACATGAGCACACTGCTCTTCTGATGGCTTCCCGCAGCCTGCCTGCTTTCTACTAGCCCTGCTCTGCCATGCTGGCTGTTTGCAGGACCCAGCTCCTCCTCTGCCAACAGATTCCACTTGTCTCCTGAGGTGCTGGGCTGGAAGTTGGCTCTGTGAGAAGCCATGCTCAGTGAAGGACAGGTTATTTGGGGAATAAGGGGGAGAAATGCAGAATGCAAACTTCTGCCTGAATATCTGCACTCCTGAGCTTGTCTGCAAGTAACTGGAAAACCACCCTTTTCCTGGCAGAGCTCTCCCTAAGCAGTTTTTCTGTACCTCTTTAAAACCTGTTTAGTTGCTCGCTACTGAATGCATGGGAATGTGGCCTAAGGCTATGAATACTGTGGTGATCAAACTGATTCTAGATGTGTGTGTGGGATTCCCCCAAAGCTGGTTGTCATTACTCTGTCAAGGCAGTGGCTGAGCCCATGCAAAGGAATGCTGTCTTCCAGGGTAGCTGACTTTGGCAGTGAGGACAGGATTCTCCCCACATATCCAGCAGTTTTTAACCAAATGTTTGCTATGTACTGTGCATGTCCTGGGATAGCTATAGTCTGCCTTTGGTTTTAATCATGAGTTTAACAGGACAAAAGTCTCCTGATGGTCTTTCTTATGCTGCAAAAGCCCTCCTTTTTCTTCTTGTGCAGCTTCTCTTGACTTACTGATGCTCTTTTTTTGGAGGCAGCAGCTTCAGTTTTGGAGCATCAGTCTTTCTAGAAATTATACAGGTATTTAGAGTCAGAGGGCAGGAGTAAAACCAGCCCTAATATCATATGCAGCCTACACTGGTTTTTATAAGGATCTCCTGACAACCTCTTTCACCAGCATTTAGCTCAACCATCGTTTCTCCATGATTTTTGGCAGCCAAGCAAACTTGGTGCAATTAATAATAGTTAGGCAGATTAAAAGCATAGGGGCACAGAGAATAACAGTTGCATCCATTAACTACCTTTTGTTTTCAACAGGTTCCACTGTTTTAAGTAGTTATTCTGGGGTGTTCAGGAACACTGGTGTTGCCATGCTGATCCAACCACCATTCCAGCTTTTTGAAGTGGCTGTTACTGGTAGTTTCAGAATAAATCCCCAAAGCACAGGCTTCCTTGGTAAAGATCTGCATAGTGGTGCATTGTTATGTTGAGGAGGAGAAATTCTTTCTCTGCCATAACAAGCTGTTTGGCTTAAATGTACAAGTTAGCCTCCGGTATACATGAAATACTACAGCCTGTGTAGTACAAATATTCTGTTTCTTTTCTCCTCGCAGAGTGATATTAGGGATAAGAACTGAATTAAAGCTTACTTTCTTTCACAGAATTCCTCTGAGAGAGAAGACTGTAATAATGATGAGCCCCCTAGGAAGATCATTCCCGAGAAGAATTCACTTAGACAGGTATGTGATCAGTCTCTTTAAAAATGCAATAAAACTTTCTAGCTATTTGAATCCTTAAATGCTTCTGGAAGCTGAAGTCTGACTTGCATACATGGGAATCTTTTCTCCTTTGTAGTCTGAACAGCTCACATTGTACCCAGGAAAATCAGACACAGAGATTTAGCTTTCAGGAGAATTTGATGACTCTTTCCAAAGAAATATAGGCTTCTGTATGGTGCAGTCAACTGTGACTCCCTAGTTTTGCTTTTTTCCATTTGGTGTTCATCAAGACCTCTTCAGCCTTTTCTTCTGTAATTGTTCCTGTCTTGTTTGTAGTATATTTTGCCTAGCTTCAGATCAAAAGTCTCAAAGTGTTCTGCAACAATTAAGCTTTTTATTGCCCTTGAAGGTAAATATTCTTGGAGGTGATGTCCAGGTTAATAACCTGAAAAATGACCTGTTCTTGTTTCTTCTACACTCGTATAAATTACTAATAGGTAGAAAAGAGAAAGGGTGCTCTGATAAAACTTAATCCCTTTGCCTTTTATATATAGTAAAGCAAATTTCTTACCAGTTCAAAGGAATCGGTTTTTCAGTCCCTGTGGTCAAGAAAGGGAGTCTGGTTTGTGATTTCTGGGGAACTTAAGTTAGCTTTAGTGATTTCAAATCCTTATTCACCTTGCTGTTCCTCCCCACTGCAACCTTCAGGCAGCAGAAGCAAAAATACGTCCATGCTTCAGCTGCCCAAGGTGGCTGCTTGGTGTATCAGAATAAAACCATTGAGGAACATGACTTAAGTGAATACCCCAGGCCACACATTGCAACAGCTGAGGAATTGGGAGTCTTCCTTCTGCATCGCAGCCATAGGAGCAGCAGTCTTAGGCAGAGGAATAGGGTGGTACCACACTGCCCCACTGCTGCTATTTCCAAGGAAATTGTGGGTCAGAACTGTAGTAGGAGAAGAAGAGGTAGTATTTTTTTATATATAGTGTGCTTGTGTTCAGAACTGAGAGTTGTTTTGAGGGGGGCAGGTTTGGTTGTTTGGTGTTTGGTTTTGGTGTGTTTTTTTTTTTGCTGATTTGGGGTTTCTTTTTTAAATAAATGCTCCATCCCTGGCAGTGTTCAAGGCCAGGGTGGACAGAGCCTTGGGTGACATGGTTTAGTGTGAAGTGTCCCTGCCCATGGCAGGGGGGTTGGAACTGGATGATCTTAAGGTCCTTTCCAACCCTAACTATTCTATGGTTCTTTGATTCTGTAATGTATTGTGCTAGGAGTTTGATTTTGTGGGAGTGGGTATCATGTGAAGGACTGTATGTGGCTAAGACAGGTCCATCTAAGAGATATAGTCCATGTAAGGCTTTTAGACAAGAGGCAGTATGCTAGGATAATGAGTGGGGTCCTAGGTACTGCTGAGAAAGATTACCTTGTAGAATTGATTATATACATTACACCAAACTGAAAATGTTTCTGTCACTCAGTAATAAACAAGAAGATCTAGAGGAAGAGGGCAGAGCTCCTAGGTCCCTGCTGTATATCCCTAGGATAGCCAACAAGGTCCCCAGCACACCAGAATTATTTTTTTCCTTCTCTTGGAATTACCTTACTGACGAGAAGCCTTCAGGTTCAACAAGACAAGGTGCATGTCTCTTCTCCAATAAAAGGTTCATAGTAAGAGATGTTAAATCAAAAGCAACATGAGTTACCTGTTTTGTGTGCCTTCTCATTACACCGAGTCCTTCCACATGATTATTAAGGGGAAAACAAATATTCATGAACAGCATTATACAGATTTCAATCTTCAGAAGTATTCTTAGTGTCCGGGGAAAGCTGGCTTTCCTTCAGGCCTGCAATTCATCATAGCCAAGGTGACTAGATAAGAAGAATACACCTAAAAAACTACTTGACCTGTCCAAATATTTCATATTGGAAGTAACTCACGTGGACGCTGTTTATGTCAAAGGTGGTTAGTTGTGTTTCAGGATATTGTTGAGATGTCGTATCAGTCTCCATCTTTCTGTCCAGTCTTTACAATGACAGATGCATGAAAATCCTTTGGTCTTCTGCTTGCTATCTGAGGCCTTTTGTGTTGAGAACAGTGCTCATGGACAAGTGCAAAATGTAGTTTAAAGCAGATGCCCTCTTCTTTAGGTCATAGGAAGTGGTTGACCACAATTTTGTGCCTCTTGTAGAAGAAATTTTGGTTCTTTAAGTAGATATAATGAAAGTTATCTGAGCATTTTGGAAACTCAGATTGCTCCTCTGTTAGTCATGGACAAGAACCAGTGGGAGTTTTCCAACTCCAGTTGCAGAAATCAGATTCAGATGAAGCCATTAATGGTAATAAAGGTAATAAGGAGATGTAATGGTTACTTAAGCATCTGAGGTTATAAGCAGAGGCTGAAGGACATCCATTGCTCAGTGCTGTGGACCTCTTACTAGGTGAAATACCATTCTTCTATTTATTAAAATGTTTTTTGGAGAAGGGTGTCTTCAGAAGCCTCAACAAGTGGAACTGTGTCCTTGGCATGCTGGAAGTGGGAGGCATGGCCACTTGTAGGTGTGTGAGGGGCAGCGAGGCAGGAGAGACACCTGGGAAAGGAAGGACAAAAAGGCAATGAACTTGACGCTGTTAGCTGGACCAGTGAAAAGATCTAAGCTATGGCAAGCTTTGACGTAACAATGCAGATGTTCAGTTCTTGTTGTTTGCTTGTCCTGACAAAATTAAATTTTGAGGGGGTAAACTGAAAATAGTATAAAAACAGACTTCAGAAAAAACAATGACAAGTGGCAAAAGTTTCTGGCAACTTTATTTAAGCTAACAAACGAATTTTCACTCTGCAAAGTTATAAATTAATTTTAATAGGCTGATCCAGATGGTCCATTTGGAAAATGGATAGCTTGATCTGTTGAAAATTAAACTAAATTTATCTCTCTCATACTTCAAACTGAAGTAAGCGTGAGAAGAGTGCCCATTAAGTCCAGCTCATACAGATGGACCGGCAGGTCACACATGGGACTAATCTGATTCATTTTAAAAATAAATGCATGAGTTATTGAATCAGGTTCCTGTTTCAAGCCCTGCATGTGAGAGTGTGTGTGTGTGTGCCGCCCTTTCAGAGGGACTTGCAAATGCTTCAGTGCCTTTTTAACCTGTGTGTTTCCATTTTAATTCAACTTCCTTGCCAAAAAACATAATTAGTTTTCAGTGCCTATCATTTAGTGTTAGACCCAAACACTAGATTGATTAGGTCAGACATTTGTTATTTTAAGGGCTATGTCTCCATTCTTCATTTATGAAGAACATGAGCTCAATAGTCTTGGGGAGAGAGCTGGCCTTTAGAAACTGGGAAGGGGAAGCTCTCTGGGGGCCCCTCCAGCCTTTAGCTTCTGGGTGTTTTTAACAGAGCCATGAATGCAGATTTGTAAATTTATTGCAGTGCCATCTGTTTTTTTTGCAGGAACCGTATTATTGTTGGCTCGTATCTGTCTATTGTGGTGGTCACTCCCCAGGAGCTTGCCCTCATAGTCCTAAGGAAAGTGATGAATAGTGGGGGTCAACATGAATAGGTCACAGGGCAGCTGTCCAGGGCTGCCCTGAACTTGATTACCCTGCTGGTTTTTAAAGAAGACGGGCACAATGCAGGTTGTTTAAAACCCTCCCTCCCTTCTCTTTGGTTTAGCAATAATGAAGTGCCTTTTGCTACCGTGGTTTGTCTATGGGTGAAGGTGCCTTGTGGGGAAATGCTGGCAGCAGCAAGGCTGCCGCACCATACCTCCTGCAAACCTCACATTGGACTCTGCTGCCTTTCTATAAGCTTCCAGATGGAAGTCCGGGGGAAAAAATTCCCTGTTATCCCATTCAAACAGGCCCCTTAGCATTTTCAAGAATCTTCCCACTTACCATTTTGGCACAGAGTATTACCTCAATCCAGTCTCACAGATTTTAGATAGTTTTGTAAAATTACAAGTAGCACCTAAAACATGCTCTGGGTGCTATTTCAAAGTTAAAATAGGCACAGTCTGATCTTAAGATTTTAAAGCAAATATTCAAGCAAACCATAAGAAACGGAAAGCAGTTACAGAAGGTAGAGCAAAGGAAGGATAAAAAGTAGCAACCATCAACCATTTACTTCCAGCTGGTAGCCTCGTCCCACTGCATAATTTTCCTCTCCAGAAGTATTTCTGCTATGAAAAGTTAAAGCCCTCTTTTCGGCTGGTGAGGAAGGTTGTATGATGAGGAGGGAGTGAGGGTCCTTCAGCTCCCTTCCTCCTTCCCTCTGGGGAAGATGCTGCAGTTTGAATTTGCCTTTAGCTGGAGAGCTGACCAAGGCAGGATGTACCATGTCTATGAAGTTATCCCAGGTACTTCACCTTTAACGTTATTGTTGCTTGCTAGTAAGGAGTTGCTGGTTGAAAACCCTCCTGAAATTGCTTGATGTACATCCTTAGGCTTACTTTTAAGATTATTCTTTCAGTTTAATTATTTTCTCCCTTGTTCTCAAACAACAAGAAAAAAATAATTTCCATTTCTCTGTGACACTTAATGCATGTTAAAAAGCTAGCCAAGGCAGGTTGTGCCGGAGTCTAAGCTACAATGGGAATGCTGCCTTGTGGCGGAAAGGCCACTGGGCTCTTTCAGCACTAGTGCTAATAGGAATCTGTCACCCCGCTGCCGCATTGCTGCATTCCTCTGTAATTGAGTAAATTGCAAGTGTTGTCTGCCCCCCCCCCCCCCCCGCCCTTTGTGTCCATGTCCACTTACCATCCCAAGAACGTGGGCAGTGATAAATAAAGCGCTGAACAGGGCGCTCAACTCTTTGAAAGCAGCGTGTTGCCAGCCCCCTAGTTATATTTCTTTAAGTGTTTATGTTTTTCTGTATTCTTTCTCTTGTGTGGCTGGAACCCTGGGGATCCAAAGCCATGAGAGAGGCCAAGAAGCTAACAAAAGTAGCTGTCCCCTTGTTAGCTTGTTCCTTTATTCTTTAAAAAACAAGATGAAAACCATCTGGCTCAGGGCATTA